TTATTATTCTACTAAATAACCCGAAACTGAAATCATGCAGAAGTCTCTATAGAGCTAACAATGTAGACAAAAAACAAAATCAATAATTCTCCAATTTGCAGAAGTTCCACATTCCTCAATCTCTAACATCATTCACCAAACATACAAAGAGGCTTTAGACACGGTTTCATGGCTTACATAGAATTACCACACCACTGAGAACAAGCATTCCATATTACTCTTGGCTATAAAAGCTGGGTATAAGCGTTGGCGGGCCCAGTGGGTAGTCCGAGTGGGCCAGGACTACCCACAAATTTGGCTCAAAATTCTATTACTACTCTTGAAACCAAGAAAAATTGGCCCAAACGCTCTCCTTCAGGCTTCCCAGTCACTCTCGTCTTAGCCAGTGGAAGACACCGTGAGTCCGCGTTCCTCGCCCCAAACCCGGCCCAGCGATGGTGGGTCTGCGACCGCCCCAACCGTCGCCGCCCCTCCACCTGCCGCCACCAGCCTTGAATACTGCCCCACCTCGCCAGGCCACCCACCTGCTAGCCCCACACCAAGCCCCACCGGCGGCGCCGCACCCAGACGCTAACCGCCACCACTAGCGCCCCATGGCGGCCGCTGCCATCCACTGCACCGCCCTGGCCAGCTGGCCGCCTGGCCCCAGCCAACGGGCCCCTGCCCTACCCCCGGTGGCTGACTGAGTAACTAGTCACTGGTAGGTGCTTCTGTAGTTCTGTTCCCAATTCCCATATCCACTTAGGTCCTGTTTGGTAGTATTTTCCAGGTGTAAACCATTTTCACATATAATTTGTTGTGCACAAGGATACTACTGTATTTTTTACACCTGAAAAATGTTGTTTGGGCAAAAGCTTCTGCCTGCATGATTGCATATGATGCGTGGTGCTTATATCTGTATTGTGCTGATCCTTCAATTATGAATGACACATCTGCAATTGTAGTTTCTTTTTTTTTTTGTAAGACCTTGGTCTCAGATCCTGGGTCCGCCACTGGGTATAGGCAATAGAGATAAGAGCAACAGAGGCAGCGATCTCGCTCACCAGCTACGCTGCCCGCCCTCCTTAAACTCGGGATCGAGAGCACGCTTCCTCGCCTCGCCGACCCTCGTCACCCGCGACGACGTGAAGAAGAACACCAGTAGCAGCCCAGCGAACCTGCACGTGCCAAACTCGAGATCTCGTCACGAATTCACGGGCGAGCCCTTCCGCCGGAAAGGAATATTTGAAAAGAGGCGGCTCTCTAACCTGTACCCGGCGATGGTATGAGCCACCATGGCGGGGACTCCGACGAACACGGCACTGGAGTCGACAGACTTGCGCCGTACGGCGCGCGCCGCGATGGCGGCTCCCGCCGCCACCGCCACTGCCGCACGGATCCAGATGCTGCCGCCGCCGCCGTGATCCATTGCGGCGACCTGATATCGAAATCTTTTGGAGTTCCCCGCGGATGTCCCGTTCCCGTCCCTAGTGCGGTAGTGCCGGCGCGGCCGCAAGCGGAAGACGCGAGGTGGTCTGTCCGCGGCGTGGAGCAGTAGGACAGGCAGTGGAGAGGGGCGTCGCGGGGACCGACGGCGGCGGGCTGGGAAGAGCAGCGGGGAGCGGCGAGCGACCGAGAACGGCGGGGCGCGGCACCGGGAGATGGCGGCTGCGAAATCTCCGTTTGGTAGCGCTACTCGGTTTCTCGCGTGGGCCGTGACGCTACCGAACGGCCCCCTAAAAAGTCGTTAACTCGTTATGCCTGGCAACTTCCGCAAGGCACACCTTGCTTTTTATTCAGCACACATTGTCATTCCTATCCATCTTCCTGTAACAGCTGGGCCCACAATGCATTGACTTGCATTTTTACCAACAAAATCTCAGAATTAATAAGAGGCAACAAAATATTGTATACAATATACAGCAACATTTTCAAATGGATGAACAGCACAAGTAAACAGAAGATAGAAGTCATGTAAATTTCAGACTTCAATTCGTTTGTCCAAACCATGTACGATGTACTCCTGCATCTAAGAATAGAACAAAAAAACCAGGAAGTCTACAAATTGTTCCTTAATCTAACTAGCATCAGCCTTATCCATTAGGCTTAGGCCACTGAAAATGAGCACATGATTTGAGAAGGTCATCATCGTACCACTTTTACCCCTACAACCAGTGGACTACACTGAACACACAACAAACCTATAAACCTAAACCTCCAACTGTATCGCTGGACTAAAATCTTCCTCTGCCCCTTCCTCGTCCTCGGCCCCTTCCCCTGCCCCGTCCCCGGCCTCGAAAATCACTTCTACCACCACCTGCTTCATCAGGGCCACTGAAGCTGAACATGCTCATCCGTAAACGTTCAGCATCTGAACTCTCCGCCCCGCCACTGAAAACATCTGCCCCACCCTGAAAAACATCATATTGACACTGAAATCAACATTCCACACTGGTGTTGCAAAAAATCTGGAAAGGGATGCATCATTGCAACAGAGAATCGGACTAACATGCATATCTTCTAGATCTAGTTGTTCCTGCAGTTGCTTTGCCAACTCCTCATCTCGGCTAGTGTCATGCACATAGCTTTCTGCAGCGGTCTTCGAACCAATGGCTTTCCTCTTCTCCCATTCATCAAGGGTAAAAAGCTGAGCATCTTCTTCCTTACCTTTGCCCTTGAATCTATGACCCCGACCATGCCTGTCTTCAGGCATAGCCTGTGACATTTTCTGCAGTAGCTTCTGTGCAGCAGCTTGGTTTTGGACAGGAACAGCTTCGCTGGCTGCACATTGCAAGGAAATAAGTCTTAGTTCCAACTGCCCCCTGACAAATTATGATGATTGAATTGATATCAAAGATAAGGTTCTGGAGTCTGACCTTCTTTTGGTCTGCTATCTTGAGTAATTTCCTTAGATTCAGCCTTGCTTTCAATAGTGTCTTTGTTCACATCGTTCGAATCCTCATTCATTGGTTTGCCACCAGAATTAACTGGGGCATGGTCACGAGTAACTGCCAACTTCCTAGCTTTATGAAAGGAAGACAGACCGCAAGTTACGAAGAAATCACCAGAGTCTAAAAGTTTTGCAAGCACGCAATAATAGCGCGTAACAGATGAGAATAATGTAGGTATACACAACAAGTGCATATGTTGCAAGCATGTGAGAAACCTAAGGACCAGATTTCCAACTAAAGAGATGCAGAGCTCCATGTTTGTCAAAAATGACAAGGAACCAGTCCGTTATCTGCTTAATGGTGCTTGTTCAGATTTACAGGACTTAACAGTGACTTCCTATTAAATCTCAACAAAATTAATATATTTCTAGCGAGGAGTATAACACTATACATTATAACACCTTTTCATGAGGAAATAATCCTGAAGTGCCATCCATGCAGATTTCACCGCCTGAACCAAATGCAAATTTCTGTTGACTTCTGATACTGTATTTTACTGAATGATGTTTTTACAGAAGTTTTTCGTTTTTGCCGGTGCCTCATGTTGGGTTTCATCTGTAGCCTATGGCGTACCCCAAATTGCTTGGGAGTTGAGACTAAAAGGCTTTGTTCTTGCTGTATTTTCCTTAAGGTAAGAAACTCATACTTCCACAGCTCTTTAGTCAACAGCATGAGTGGAAACAACAAACAAGAGAGGATGGTTACCAGGATATGCTTGAACTTTGGTTGCCCTGCAGGGACGTGCCTCAATGTCTAACTTCTCAAATGGTGGAGGCCCAACTCCATCATCACTTTGAGACAACCTCAAGGATGGACGAGATAAGCCGGAGTACTTCTGGTTCATCTGCCATTCTTCATACAATGATTGGACAGTCCCCCCAATGACACTCACATTTTTCGCGCTTAAGCACAATATGCCATTATTGTTTGGAATCTTATTCTCAAGGCGAATCTATACAGGGACAAGGAAAGAGGAAACATGCATGTCAATGCTAATATTTAATAAACTATAGAAAGTTCAACTACTGTATATTTGAGCAAGTGTAAATCACAGAGAACCATAATGTATCATTTTAATCAAAATTAGACCTTCATATTTATTAAAAAAAAGTGTAAGGAAATTCAGATAGACAATGGGGCAGAGTGGCAGACAACCAATGGGAACAGAAAATGCTATCTCCCAACCCCAACTTAATGCCACATCACCATATACATCGTCACAAATAGGTTTCTTTACACTATCCTTATATAGAAATATTAGTTTGCCTACTTATCTTTTTCAAAGTTTGGTTTCATGCTGACGGTTGGAATAGTGTCACACAAAGAGCTACCTGAACAGTAATATTCACTTACTCATTTCCAACATGCTCGGTGGTTTCTAGCTCCAATGTCATTGATACTCAGAACTGAACCAGAAGTCATGGACAATACCTACACTGAATGTGCAGAAAATGCGACTCTCTACAACAAGAATTAGAAGCAGAAGCAGAACACGGTTAACTGACCTTGGTACCTGGAGCTATCTTTTCAGTGATGAATGGGATAGGAGAAAACTCTATGGCTACCGCTTCACATATCCCATCAGTCAGACCAAAGCGCAGAAGACGACGCTGCTGCGGGTTCTTAAAGGAGGCATCAATGATGCTGCGATATATATCCCTTACAGAGACTACCTGTATCAAAACAACAGTTTATAGAAACACTAAAGATAAGTACAGGATTAAAACAACCAAACACATCCCAGACAAAAAAAGAGGGATTGTCTTCTATAGTAGCATTAGAATGCACGTTAGATCCACCGAGTGCAGAACAGACACGATCATCATCTGTTCCATCGTCTAAAACATACAGTTAGGTTTCGTATAAGTTCGGTTCAGAGAACTGCATTGACAATGCTCTTTTCCCCTCTTATCGGCTAGTATTAGTACCATCACTGCCCGTAGTACCTGTAGATCACAAATGCAATGTCCACCCAAATCGATCCACAAGTTGAATAATACCCTATATAATAAGTAAAGCATTTCCTCGGTTTCGGACACAAATATTAGCTGGTGAAGAACCTTGGGACATTGTGATTTTAGAATTTTTATTTACCGTACCTGCAAGACGACGGGGCCGTGGAGGTATGAAAGCCGCTTCGACGTGGCGGCGGCGGTGGCCCGGTCGGGAAGGTACTTGACGCCGAACAACCTCAAGTCCATGTCGACGAGCTCGGACTCCACGGCCTCCGGCGACGGAGTGGGGGAAGCGAGGAGCAGGGCCTGGATGGCCTCGTCGGTGGGGTCACGGAAGCGCCACCCGCGGTCTGCGAGGGACTGCAGGAGCCTGTTCTCCGCGGAAGAGGCCGATGCGCTCGGAGCTTCCGCCGCCGCCGCCGCCATCGCAGTCAGGGTGTTCTCCGGCAGCAAGGTCAGGTCAGACTTCAGGGAGGGCGGGTTTTGCGTTGGGTTATTTGATCGGTACCATTAAAAAAAAAATTAAGCTCTGCTCCCAAACTTTCCTGCCAAACATGTTCAACTTCACAAACTCTGCTCCCAAAAACAGATAGAGTTTTGGTCCAACTCCATATTTTTCGCGGAGCTCCTCAGAGGGTACTCCACAAACCAGGGTTTCGTATGTCCTCGTGGAATTGGAGGTAATTACCCGCAGTTGCCACTCGTTACGCAAATACCGTTTCGTTTCTTTCTTTCTCTCCCGTTCTTCCCCGTCCCGACTCGCCTGCGGCGCTTCTCTCCCGTTCTTCCCCGTCACGGCTCAGTCACGCTTGGCCCTACCGCCACCAGCGAGTGGCGCCCCATCCACGCTTGGCCCCGTCGCCACCGACGAGCGGCGCCCCGGTCTTGCTCGGCCCCTCCACCACCGTCGAGTGGCACCCCGGCCGCGCTCGGCCCCTCCGCCCCCGGCGAGCGGCGGCCCGCCCGCGCTTGGCCCCGCCGCCACCGGTGAGCGGAGCCTTGGCTGCGCTCGTTCCCTCCGCCACCGGCGAGCAGTGCCCCGGCCACGCTCAGCCCCGCTGCCTCTGAGGACGACCTCCACTTGCTCGCTTCCTACGACGGCCTCCAGATATGCAACCCGATGCTCCAAGAGAACAAAGGATGGCCACGCTGTGCCCTCCGTCGGGTCCGGAGAGCTCAGGTGCGTTGGAGAACCTCTGGGCCTTGGGCGTCCGCGGATATGGCGTTGGTCATGCTGATGATGGGTGTGCCAAGGGCATAGAAGGACATTCCACCAAAACCTCCTGTTACCAAAGGTGGAGCAGAGCTGCATACCAAACAGTCACATTTGCTCTAGGAACTCCACAGTGGAGCTACTCCACAGTGGAGCTACTCCATAGTGGAGTTGGTGGAGCAGAGTAGAAGAAATTGGAGTAGAGCAGTCCCAAACAGGCCCTTAGAGTTTTGAAAATTATCATTACTGTTCACCTATTTTAAAATACGTCACGATATAAGCTTGGAATGACTCGGGTCCACCTGCAGGC